ACTTTTTTCCAACTTCACCTGCAAAGTCTTTGACAGATATTTTGTATAGGGAACATAAGTGGAACTGCAATATATTTGGCAGCTAAAGCATTTGAAATATCTGGGTCCAACATATAGACTGCAAGTCTCTTTCTATTCTCTTGCATTCAAATTTTTCGCATGTAAACTTAACTGGGTCCCAAGCAGTTCCAGCAGCATTGAAATAATAGTTTACTTCATTGTTGAAGTTTGAGAAACCAAAGTCTAAGTCAACTTTGTCTTTGCAAAATTCGGCGAATGACGTTTGATTTGTTCCCTTTACGTCTGTAAGAGTGAATGGGTCTTGTGTTGGTGCAATGACTAAGTTATTTTTGCTTGGGGTGAGTTCGATAGAAATTTTTCCTGCCCAGTTTGGCAAGTATCTTAAAAACCTGAAGATGAGGAAAGATGACAAAGGAACTCTAAGTTTCAGTTTTACTTTGGTTACTGCTGCTGCAGTTTGTCCAGAAAGGTTAACATAAACTCCTGGAACGTTAGGGTCAAGTCTTCTTATTTTCTCAATAGTTGCATACTGGTCTGTTTGTTCTCTAGCTTGTGGTTGTACTGAGTTTCTCAAAGCGAACCATTCATAGTTTGCCCATGTTACTGTTTGAACTAAGTCAGAGTTAGAATATATCTTATATCCATGAAAACTTCTGGAGCATATTGGTATCCGACATAGAAAATTCCATTGCAACCTTTCTTGTCAGACAACTTGGCAGAAGGTTTTATTTCAATGTCTTGTTCCACGTATAAGAAAGAGTTGTCAATAGAAATTATATGAAACCTGTCGCAAGCAATATCTACTGTTGTTGAAGAACCTTCTCCAAACTCACCTACGTTTCCATAAGAAACAGCAGTTGTATATTCGTAAGTTCCAGGAACTATTTCTGACCTTCTAATGGCATTGTCGCATTCGTTATACCATTCGGAAACATTTCCATTCATAGCATCCAAAACTGTTGGCGTTATATTCTGAGCGGCGTACATTTCATATGAGTAAAAATATAGAATAGTTGGATTTATATGTCATAATAGAACCCACTCCGACCAAGCTTTACTTTCTTCCTGACTGAGTTTTTAACTCTTCTTTTTCCTTCATTGCCCTCTGCTTGAAGTTGTTGCATCTTTGCATTATGTTCATCTAGTATGTTGCAAATTTCCCATGTCCTTTTTGCCTTTTGGCTCTGGTCGCCCATCTCAGGTAACCTATATCCTAGAAAGAGTTTGTCATAGTCTGTATTTGAGTCTTCGCGTATTGTTTGCATGACTCTTTCCTGAGTTTCCGGTTCAAGCTCTTCAAACAGTGCCTGTCCATATGGAATATGCTCGTTTCCAAATATATGTTTTTGTAGCCATTCTGGTTTTCTTTCCATGTTACCAACTATATCTTTTGTGAATGGGAAAGCTTCTACCCAATCTTTCAGTCTTGCGTCGTTTATTTCTGTAGTTGGTTTTATTTTGTCAAGGAACATGTTTTTCAATACTAACATTTCATTTGGTACTGTCCATTTGAGTTTTCTTAAATATTCATCCCTTCTCGGTTCATTGTCTGCAAAGTAAGTTTTTATGACATTTTGTAAACTTTCGTTTGCAAGGTCATGTACAATAGGTTCTCTTCCTTCTCTGTCCATAACTTTCTTTCTAAACTCTTCACCAAATATACCATCTCTATGGTTCTGTGTAGTTCTTTGAGATAAATGTTCTAGAACGTCAGGTGTTATATTTCCATCAGCCATGTTCATTTCATACTGGTCCAAAATATCTGCATCTTTCATATCTTTCAATGGCATTAAAGCCGCGCTTAAAATACCAGCTATATCTGGTTCACCATTGACTTCCATTGCGTCTACAACTTCTTGGAATTGAGGTTGTAAGTTTATGAACCACCTATCCGGGTTAGCTTTATGACCCCATCTCATTGTAGTTCCATCGTCTGCAGAAACAAAAGTAGGTTTGTTTCCATCTTGGTTAGGTTCTGAATGAACTTTAAACAATGTTTCATTTCTATATGTTTTCTTGAAATTTAACCTTTTATTTTCACCGAGTTCATCCGAAGATTGAACGTTAAATGCTCGTAAGTAAAAAGGGTTGTTGTATTTGTGTACATTTTCTTTCAGTGCTTCCATTCTATGCTGAATATTTTCATCTGGTGCTGGAGTCTTTTGTATGTCGGCAAACATTTTTCGATATTCTTCTACTATGTCAGCCGAATTTTTTTTAGACTCTTGGAAATATTCCATATTCTCCGCATACTCTTGTTGAGGGTCAAGATTTTTCGGCTGTTCCAAATCTTCATCTAGTTCTGTGAAGTTAGTTTCCAAAGGAAGGACTTGTTCGTTTCCTTCAGGCTCTTCTAGCTGTTGTTGCTGAACTATTTCTTCCATGTCTGGTTGTATCTGAACTTCTTCCTGTGGAGTTTCTTGTACCTCATCTGCTGGCATTTCATATATTCCGAGACCGTTTTCAACAATTTCCCTATCTACGTCATCCGCATTCATAAGCTTTTGTTCTTTCGTTCCGTCTCTATTTTTTACGCGTTTCATGACGAAAGTTGAATTGTCATTTAGCTCTGACATCAAATATCTCGGAGTAAATTCATCCATGTCATTTGGATGATATGCTATTAAATCATATCCCTTAGCGAGCTTGTATTTTCCAGGTTTGAGATTATATCCGTTTTGGTGCTGAGCCATAAAGCTAAATAGGTTCGGGTCAGTATTTCCATCCTTGAACTTTCTAATAGCTTCTTTATATCTGTCACTAAAGTCAACAGTATCTGGGAAACCACACTCTTCTTTAAGCATTTTTAAGAATTCTTGGTTTCCTTGTTCTCTACTTCTTTTATGTCCTTGCTCTGTTTGTGGTTGTTGTTGTGCAGGGTTTTGAACTGTTGGTTGCTGTGCTGGTTGTTGTGCTGGATTTTGAACTGTTGGTTGTTGTGTTGGTTGTTGTTGTTGTTGTTGTGCAGGGTTTTGAACTGTTGGTTGTTGTGTTGGTTTTGGTGCATGCCTGTGTCTATGTCCATGTGACGATGTAAATGTTTTAGGTAGTCCTGGTGCAGGTGCTTCTCTTGGAGGGTTTGGTGGTATATAAGTTCCACCAGCTGGCACATATGTTCCATCTGCAGCGTAATGTCCTACCTGACTTTTCGTTTTTAAGAAAGCATTTACTAGGTCTGTTTTGGTCTGTTGTAACTCTTTTTCTTGACTTTTCACAACAGTTGCTCTAACGGCGTCATAGGCACTTTGAACTGCCTGTCTCGTTTGCTGCATCTGTTATTTTCGTCATATTTTGTGCTACTTCTTTTAACTCTTTGTCGAAACCTTCAGACTTCAGTTTCTTTCCAGATGAGAAGTCGTTCACTTGTTTCACCTTACTATGAAGAGCTTCGAAGGCGTTCTTAAAGTCAGCATTTGTTAAAGCTTCATTTGAACTGTCTTCATCCGCTTGTATTTTTGTCCTTATTGACCCTATGAGTTGGGCTGCTTTAGCGTTGGCTTGGGCATCTAACCAGTCATTGTTAGCTTTTATATATTCTGCGCTTTTCATTGCCTTTTGCATGGCTGCGTCGTTATTTTTACTTTCTTGTGCTAAGTTTTCATACTGTACGGTTTGGTTTTGCAACTGTAAAAGTTTTCTGCCTTTACATTTGCTTCAACTTCTTTTTTATACTCATCGCTATCCATATATGTCTTCAGGGCTTTTTGTTTTATCTCTTCATCTTTCAGTACTTTATATTGAGTAGTATGGTTTTTCAAATTTATGACATCTTGTTCCATTTTTGCTACTTCTGTTGCTTTTTCTGACACTTTTTTCGCATATTCCTCTGTACTTAGTTCTTTCAGTTGTTCTTCTTTCTTCTTTTTCTCTACGTTTAACTCATTGAGTTTCTTTGTGTGTCTGTCATATTCTAGTTTCTTTTCGTTTTCACTTATTTGCTTCTGTATGTCTATGTTTGACTTTTTGACATCTGATATTTGATTTTTGAGTGAACTCAAATTCATTTGACTTTGAGGGTTATAGGCTGTTCCGTCTGCAGCTCCACCATAGCCTGCCATTTTCGCTAAAAGTGCCGCTCTTAAACCTCCACTCTGTGCACCAAGAACTCGGTTTAAAAGCATAGGATTGCTTGACATTTGTTGCAACATAGTGGGGTCATTCAGCATTTGTTGTTGCAACTGTTGTTGTGGTGTCAGTTTTACTATTGGATGTTTCAATGCTCTCTTCCTCTTACGTATATTCTTACGTAGCTTACGTGGCATTTTAAGTGAAGTTAAAAAGCGGTTTTTGACAGATGTTTATATGACACTTTTTGTTCAGCACAAAAAACTACTCGGTCAAACTGTTGTCAGTTTTGTAAAATAACCGTCTTATCTCATTCTATAAGGGGGAAAAGGCTTCTCAAAGTATACTTCCTTGGAACGCCTGTAACTTTTCCTGTAGCGACGATAGACCCTTACTTGTCCGGACAAAGTTATACTAAACATCTTCAGGGCTAGAGGGCACGAAGTGCCTGGAGGCCCCACTACCTTTTTTTTTTTTTTTTTTTTTTTTTTTTCCATCCTCTAAAATTCGATAATCTATTTTATCTGGTTTTACTTGTTGGGTCATTTATGTAAGAATAAAAAAATAAATTATTTTAAAAATAACTTTAATTTTTTTAATGGTTTATAAATAAATATATTTTAATGCATCGTCTATATATAGATGTAACAAAAAAAGTCACAAAACCCATCATATCCTACTACTTCAATGAGCAATTTTTTTATTCGTCTTCCAATCGATATCGTATTCTTCGTTCTTTTTCAATAAGAAAAATGTCTTAGAATATCGGCGTTCTGTATCAAATTTGAGCATTCAGATTTTGACATTATCATGATACAGTCATTACATGTGCAATATCAATGCAGCAAACCAAAATTCACCTAGTCTATCGCTATTTCATTCTGATTCCAAGAAATTTTTTTTTTCAAAAAATCATGTCAGGTTCAACGCAACCAGCCAATGAAATTGAATGCTCTTTTTGCAATATTAAGTTAATTGATGCATTTGAGTACCCAAGCCAAGCTTCAAAACTTATTTGGGACGTCAACTCAGAAAATATTTTACAGGCATCATCTCAAATTATAGACTTTATTAATACCAACAAGATACCCATCAAAATGGCAATTTATTTGATTGATATTATTTCACAACTTCGTGAAAAAAATATTAAATTATTGGCAGATCTTTACCAAGCGATATCAAATAAATTCTCATGCACCATTCAACCGAGGAATGAGAAATTAACATCGTTGTTACATTATAGAGGTTTCAAATTTGCAAACTTCAGACCGAAAATGAAAGAAGAAGATATTATCAACGTCTATTCAATAGATTCTGCATTACACTATATTGCATATGATAAAGTTGATGAACTCAAGATCAAATTCCCATATCTTGACATTGCTCGTGAAATCAATGAAATCACACCACTTGATTGCGCTATTAAATACGGATCAGAATTGTGTTTCAATTACTTTAAGAATTTAGGCGCCAAATACACTGATAAGTCCGAATTATATGCTGTTCAAGGCGGAAACACAAACATTTTTATGCAAATGATTGAAGATAAGAAATCATTTAACTATCGTCAATATGAAATTGCTGAGTACCTTAAATCAAACTTCAGACAAAATCCTGATTCAATTGCAGAGAGCATGTTTTTCGGAAACTATGATGTTGCATCTTATTTACTTTCTAATGGTGGAAATATAAACAAACTTTACATTATCTTTCATATCATATTTATCATTATTTTATTACATCCTTTTTATTCTCATATTTATCATTGTTTTATTACATTCTTTTTCATCTCATGTTCATCATTGCTTTATGATATTCTCTTTCATTTTATATTTATTATTGTTTCATGAAATTCTAATTGTTTTCATATTTATCATTATTTTATCACATTACCTTTCTTTTCATACAATTCTCTTTATTTTAATGTTTATCATTGTTTTATACAATTTACTTTCATTTCATATTTATAATTGCTTTACAAAATTCTCTTTCTTGTAACATTTATCATTGCTTTATGTTGTTCACTTTCAATTCATATTTATCATTGCTTTATTCAATTCTCTTGATATTAATGAATCCACTATCAGCATTGCAGCCAGAGCAAATTCAACACAAATTATCAAATTCTTAATTGAACATGGTTCTGATGTCAACATGAAGCTTATTTATCATTTCTTTATGATTTTCTCTTTCTTTTCATGTCTATCATTATTTCAAGATATTCTTTATCTTTTCATATTTATCATTGTTTTACAAAATTCCATTTCTTTTCATGTTTATCAATGCTTTATGATATACAATTTCATTTCATATTTATCACTGCTTTATACAATTCTCTTTCTTTTCATATTTATCGTTGTTTTATCCCATTCTCTTTCTTTTCATATTTTTCATTATTTCACAACATCTCATTTCTATTCATGTTTATCATTGTTATAAAGAATTAATTTTCATTTCATATTTATCGATGGTTTATGTAATTCTCTTTCCTTTAATATTAATCATTGTTTATTTGGGTTCTCCTTATTTTAATATTATTCACTTTCATTTCATATTCTTCATTATTTTATGATATTCTCACAAAATTAATAAATGCCCTCTTAGCATTGCAATCAAAGAGAATTCAACAGAAGCTGTCAAATTCTTAGTTGAACATGGTGCTGATGTTAACATGAGTCTTGTTCACTTTCTTTTCATATTTATCTTTGTTTTATACAATTCTCTTTCTTATCATATTTATCATCTATTTATTACATTCTCTTTCTTTTCATATTTTTCATTGCTTTATACAATTCTCTCTCTTTTCATGTTTATTGTTGTTTTATACAATTCACTTTCTTTTTACAAAATTCTCTTTCATGTAACATTTATCATTGTTATATACAATTCTTTCAATATTAATGAATGCCCTCTTAGTATTGCAAGGAAAGCAAATTCACAAGAAATTGTCAAATATTTAACTGCACATGGTGCCAGGATTATTGATTAAAATTTTCAAAGTGATTCTATTGAGAAAAATAAGGATCACTCTGAGATGAGGAAAAACGTAAACAATTTTAATTCACTCAATTTTCACTTTTTTCCCCTCCTCATTACCTTCAGCTTTTCATTCTGTCTTTTAAAGCCAATAAGCCAGCCTTCGACCTTAATATATATGTTACAAACACCTTTTAAATTATATATGTTTGTATAAACATTTATTCGTATAAAAAATTCCGGTACGGGGAGTTGAACCCCGATCTTGTGGATGAAAACCACACGTCCTAACCGCTGAACGATACCGGAATTACATATTTAGTCTAATATAAGTTCTCCTGATGAATAAAATCCACTTTTATCCACCTTTCTACTGTATTAGAAAAATAAGAACTAAAACTTGTAAAATAAGACTTACCAATCAAATTAAATTATTAATATATGAATAGTAAAAATATCGGGTTAAAGAAGCGAAAAAGTTGACAGCAGAATTGGATTGAAAGAAATGAAGGTTTAATTTAAAATAATAATATTATGTATAACATTATGATACTATGAATGTAAAAAAACGCAAATATCGTAAAAAAGAAGTACGTTATATTGAAAAGTTATATTACTTAATTTTAACAATTGTTACTCTGTAGATAGATAAAATTAAGCCTAATTTTATCAATTGGTTTGATAAATTATAATTATTGTTTTAATATGAATAAACTGGTTGTCAACAGTTATTTTCATGTAAAATAGTTCACACCTTAATTCAAACGAAATTGAATACGAATCAAATTTTCAAATCATTTCAAATTATAACAAATTGAGAAGAATTACAGTTAGGATTTTAGCATCAATGCATAATTCCAATGTAAAATTTAATTAAAATTCAGACTGTTGTAAAATTGAGTGAAGAATATTTAAAAGTGAATTCAATATCATGAAATTTAAAATTCAAAGATCAGTTTCGTACAGTGTGAATATGGAAAACGAAAAAACGCATAGACAAAAGTTCACAGCAGAAGAAGATGAGAGACTAACACTTCTTGTTAAAGAGTTCGGAACAGGTTCTTGGAAAAAAATTGCGCAATTAATGAAAACCCGATCAACAAGGCAATGTAGAGAAAGATACTTGAATTACCTAAGTCCTGAATTAAAAAATGGGCCGTGGTCATCACAAGAAGATCAATATTTGCTCAAGCTTGTTAAAGAAATGGGCCCGTGTTGGTCAAAAATAACGAAATTTTTCCCTACTCGTTCTGACGTGAATGTTAAAAATAGGTATTCTTTTCATGTTTCAAAGGGAAGAGCTCCATCGTTAAAAAAGCTCAAACCGAAAATTGAAAAAATTAAAAAGAAAGGGAAAATAAAACTTGTTTGGATCAGTCCAATGTTCAGTTCCTAGCTAATATGTATGAAGACACCACAGCGGCGTGGACAGAAAAATTCTTTTCTTCGGATATATTCAATATTGACTGGCAGCTTGAAGGCTATGAACTTTAATGTAATTAGTTATTTTTATGAGGTAAATATCTATGTTATTTTCTATAGTTGATTTTTTTGAAAATATTGAATTAGATGAAAATAAGCAATAAAGCTCAATTCTCTGTTTGGAAACTGTTAGATCATAATATTGTTTATTAGTTTTTCTTATTGCTTGAGAAAGTAATTTGATTACCAAGAATATGAAATATCTTGACGAATCGAACTGATATTTCACCTTGGTTCATATTTCTTAGATGAGAAACACAATCTGAAATTAAGCATGTTGAATAAAGTACTCACAAAATCTAGATTGAGAGGCGGTCAATGACTTTTGAGGGGAAATTAACGCATGGAATTTAATATTATTTAGGTTGATATTCTTGCTTATTATTTCAGAAAAAAATCTTAAAAATTTCAATATGAAAATTGAAAGCAATTCAAAAAAATTGCTAACATGTAAATTTTAATATCCTATGCATAATTTCATATTTTGAACATTTTTTATTTTGCGAATTTAATATAATTTATAAAATATAATACGTATATATATTTAAAATACACTAAATTTAATTGTTAATTGACGTTTTTGGGAATGAATTTTATCAAAACATGCCTGAATCCGAAAATTTGAAAGAACGAATTACACAATCATATATGTAGAATTCAAAATACAAACTTAAAGATTGTATACGTTTAAAATTATTCAGATTGTGTTTGATTTCCACTCATTCTGTTTCTTTTGAACTCTAACACTAACATTTCATGATGATTACATGATCCATTTATACATGGTTGAATTGTTCCAGATTCTACCAGAAAATGAAAGAACATCATTAAATGGTTACAGAATTACGATGGCGAATATCGGAATTATTTTAGGTGCTGCATTGTTCGCAATCTTAGCCGATGGTGAAGAAAGTGCATTGTATCCTCGTCTACATTCCGTTCCTAAAGCGTATGGTATCAGTGGACTGATCTTTGGCCTTGCAAGTTCGATTTTTATGTTTTTATCAGGACTTTTTGTCAAAGAAAGATGCGCTGAGAACAATAAGTCAACGAAATCTGTATTTCAAACACTCAAAGAATTGTTTACTATCAAGGAATTCGTCAATTCTACTTGCTGGTATATTCTTTCGATGGTTGGATTCGATATTATTATGTTGGTCTTTATGTTCTACGTTAATGATGCATTAAAATTCGGTGGTGGTACAATGGCAATGATTTTTGTCGCTATTCCGTTGATTAGTGCTATTGTTTCTGCTGCATTTTGGGTATGGCTATCTGAAAAGTTGTCTAAATCAACAACCTTCATCATATCTGCCGTATACATGTTTGTTGTATTATTCTTTGCTATATTCTTACCAGAGAAAACTGTTTGGTCGATTGTATTATTGACAATTTTTGCTGGATTAGGTCTAAGTGCAATTCAAATTCTCCCTTACGCAGCTCTCCCTGATGTAGTTGAGATCGACGAATACAAGTTTGGTGAAAGAAGAGAGGGTATATACTATGGTATAATTTTGTTTATGTATAAGGTTTGTAGCGGCGTGACGATTTCTATCGTTTCCGCAGTTCTTGGTGCTTTTGGTTATAAGGAAAGCAATAACGGCCAACAAGTGGAACAAACGAAGAAAGCTTTGATGGCTGTTAGAATTGTTATGGGTTTGGTTCCTGGCGTTTTTTATTTATTCGCAATTATTCCTTCATTGCGCGGAAGAATTTCAAGAGAAGAATTTGCAAAGATCAAACAACAACTAGAAGAAAAGCATGCTAATCAGAATGCTCTTCATGAATCAAGTTCTAACTCTGAAAATTCAAATGGCGATAAGGCAGAGAATAACAATACAACTCCTTAAGACTTTATAATTATTTGTTCTTTTACATATAAAGTACTATCTTTCCTAATATATATGTATTTTTTACGCTTTTTAAAACATAAATTAGATATTTTGAACGAATATTCTCATATGCATATTGAAATTTACTTCATTAATCATTATGAAGAAAATATGACCTATGAAATGAATCAAATTCTTTGATAATGTTAATGAAGAACAAATAGATTTTCATTATACATATATGAGAAAAAATGAACTGTATAATGCTGCCATTGATCCTATTGTAATGTGATATATAAACTAGAGAAGAGATAGATGTATTATCAAAAAAAGAATTATTATAACATGAGTAATATGATGTTCTCATTATGTGAGTAGCATGTGATAGGATAATAAATGAATTTTATGAGGATTAAAAAGATTTTTGAACCGATGACATATTAAAAATATGACCAGATGAATGAAAAAGAGAAATGTAAGTGATAAAAATTTAATATAAGCCAATGAGATGTAAGAATTAGAAGTTATAATTTTTTTGTAGTTTCGGCCGATGGAAGTAGTAGGATAGGATGGGTTGTGTGACTTTTTTTGTAAACGTAAGAATTCATACAATATCGAGCGATTTTGTATCATTTTTTTTAACATATGAAGTAAAAAATGTATGATTCTTACGGTTTTTATTCTTACGTTTTTGAATAAATCAAGATTTAAAAAATTTTCAAAATTGTAAGACATTTACACTCAGCCCAAACATAAACACATTTTAAAAAATTAACATTAATTTTAAAATAATTTTTTTATCTTTTATAAAAGAAGCTATATATATAGATGATGTCAGATATTCCGCGATTAATTAAACATTGTTTAAATCCTGAATGGAATCAATGGAGTCATAATCAAAGACCTCATAAACGAGTAAAAGAAATTAGAAATAATTATTTTCATGAATAAAAGATTCACTACCATAATGAAATAAAAAAAATAAACTTTAAAAATTCATGTCTTACATTTTTGAATAATTTATTTTTAATTCGTATGAAATGAGCGTCAAAACTAACAACGTTAAAAAATTAGGATTCACAAACGAGGAAATAAAGGATATATTAGATGAGGTAGGTTATGAAGTTAATAAATATTATTTAAGAAATTGTCAAAAATTTGCCGAGTTATTAAATGATTTAGATTATGATGGAAAAATGAATAAAGATGATGTTATAAATTTCTTATATCCCACATCTGAAGAAGAAAAACCTAAAGAACCTGATGTTTTCCCTGAATATTATGAAGAACGGATTAAAGATGATGAATACGATGAAATTGAAAGACTGAAAAAAATAAGAGATGAAATAGATGAAAAAATTAAGGAATTAAGAGAAGTTGAAAAATATAATGAAAATGAAGTAGAGGGTTTAATGAATATCCCAGCTTCAGAATCAGAAGTACAGAAATCTCATGAAGAAAGATATAAAAATTATGTCTCAGAATCAACACAAAATTTATTAGATGGTGAAATAGACGAAACACTTTCAGAAGAAGGTACTAAATTTATTCGTAAACATAAGTTACAATTTATTGATAATGAAGAATACCCCTGTATCTTATTTCACCACCTTTAGATTCCGAAAAATTCAAAAAAGCTCTTAAAAACGTGACATATGCAACTAATACGATTAAGAAAGAAGATCATGATATTTACACAAATTATTATTTAAATAAATGCACAGGTGTTGATAAAGTTTTTGATTTATTAGATAAAATATCAAAAGAAACCATTGGAACCTATAAAATTTTGTGATTGTGGTTTCATTGTTGAAGATACTAATAATGTTTCATATGAAAGAACAGCACCAAAGGAAGACGAAGTTGAAAGGTCTATACCATTCGTTATTAAGAACATAAAAGATATGAAAACTTATAAACATTATATTTATTCATTTATTTCAGAAAAAATGGAAGCAACCCATAAAACATCTTCTCATCATTTTATAGCTATTCATACATTCCTTTTCAAAGTTGTGAAATTAAATAAGACAGGAATTAGATTTAATGTATCAGGGTACGCATTCTTGAGTAAATTAAAATGTATTCGTCACGTCGCAGATGATAAAAATTTATGTGTTCTTAATTCATTTTATGGGCTTTAAAAAATAAACTTTATTTTTATTTTTTTAATTTTTTATTCTTACATAAATGAACAAAAACGGAACAGCTAAAATGAATGATAATCAAATTAGAGCAGAAGGTAGAAGGTTATTTAAACGCTTCTATAACATTCCTGATGGTGTTAATCCTAAAACTCGTAGAAGTTATTTAAATGAAGCAATAGATTCATATGAAGGGTTTGACATTTCATCAGAAAGTGAGAGATTAGCGAGAATGTTAAATGTTAATATTGATTTCTATTATTGTGATCCTCAACCAGAAGACGTGGACATAAATAAGGTAGACTTTCCATTAGTGGATTCAATAATGATAGATCCAGAATTTGAAACAGTAAATATTTTATTAACACAGAGTCCATGTGGAAAACTTCACGCTGACAGAATAACAGACGTTGAAGCACTCACCGGCTATAAAGTTTGTCCATATTGTAAAGAAGAAGTTTATTCTATCCGTGATGATCCAGAAAGGAAAAACCAAAGAAGATTTTTAAAGCATTGTGAGAAATGTAAAGAAAATAATGGAAGATTAATTCAAGACGTTCAGTTGCAAAAGACACAGCAACCATATGCACCACATATTACGAAACAGAAGATATATCAGTGGTTATTAGCTCACAATTTGCAGGAATATTATCAACCGACAAGATATTATATTACTTTTGACTTCGAAACATTAGAGACTAAAGAAGAATTACAACTTTCTGAGTGTGCAACTTTGAACGCTTACTTAAAACCATTCATCAACGGTTAAATTAAATGATAAAACGTATACGAGAAATTTTTGCTTAACTTCGAGTGATTCTTTTATTTCTGATTGGATTGAGTTTTTATTTTCAACCTGTTCATTAGTTGTTGAATCAAATATGAGTCAATACAATGAATTAATGAAGCCGCAAACGGCGGGGACTTTGTCTCATACATTAAATGAAAAACAGAAGGAAGCATTTAAAGAACTTCTAGATGAGGAATTCAATAAAGTGAATATCATAGGTTTTAATTCGGGAAAGTTTGATTTAAATTTAATTCTTCGTGATTTAAACACTGCAAAATGGAAAATAAAATCAATGCTGGGTTCATCTTCACAATTTAAGCAAATCATTGTAAAGAAAACAAACGTTCCATATGAATTGAGATTTATTGACATCAGAAATTATATAGCGGGTGGGACATTAGACCAATTCACTCAAGATTTCGGAAACAATAAATCACGTGTTAAATCCTTTTTCCCTTATCAATTTATCACATGGGAGAATTCCGAAGAAGAATTATATAAAGTGGAACCATTCACGAAAGATTCATTTTATTCAGCATTAACTCAAGAAACTATATCAGATAGTGATTATCAAATATATCTCAATGATGCTAAAAATTTTAAGAATAGATTAGAATATTTTATTCATTATTGCAATAAAGATGTTGAAATTATGATTGACCCAATCGATAAAATTATTGAAGAAACATTTGTTTATAAAATTGATATGCTTCATAATCTTTCTTTATCATCGAATGCTTCAATGATTCGTTACGCTTTAGCATATAAAGACTTTAATCCTAATGAAAAATATCCTGAGGAAGAGATAGAATCAAGTTTTGAATTAACGAAAAGTATTGGAAATATAAAATTGAATCATATAAGAAACAAGATGAAAAAGCAGAAAGGGATACTAAAAATAATGTTTCAATGGATGATTTTCAATACTATCACGATTTAATCCTTTCATCTAAATGCAAAATGTGTGGTAAAGCGTTTACATATGCAAATAAACCAACATTGGATAGAATCGATAATGAAAAACCACATACCAAAGAAAATTGTCAGTTAATGTGTTGTTATTGGAATGTCGTAAAATCAAATAAAGATGAAGATGTTCAACGTTTAAGAATCAATTTAAGAAATTACGCATTAAAAAAATAATTTACCAATGACTTTAGATTCAGTTGAAGCTTATCACATTCTCCGTAATGGAATTACTGGTGGTTTATCAAATGTTCAACATAGAGTAAATCTTAAAGGAATCACGCACATTAATAAACTTGCATATAATCCAGAAACTAAAACTGTATCAAATGAGGACACCACCAACATCATGACTCATTTCGTTGGTGTTGATTTTAATTCATTATATCCTTCATCATTTTCATCTAATCCTCATGATTTCATTCAATATACTGACCATAAAATGTATATACCGGGAAGATTGAATGGTGTTATCATTTGTGATACAGCAACAAAGAAAGCAAAAGCACTGGGAATAATTAAGAAGAAAAATACTTTATTTGTGGCTGAAGTAAAGGGTCACATTGATGAAAAATACATTAATGATTACATAAACTTTTTACCGATAATAAGAAACTTAGATATTATCACAGATGAAAAAACAATTGGCAGTTTTATGTATAATTACATGAAATCAAACAATCTACCAGTTGACCAGAAACAGAGGAAATTAACTCAGTTAGCATCAACATACAACCAATATCAACCATTTTCTTCTTATTATCTATGGTATCTAATCGACAGGTTTAATTTTATCATTGATGATATTCAATCAATTTTAACATTTACGAAAAATACTTGTTTTAATGAATTTGCGAACAAATTTATGAACGAAAGACAAAAGGCTGAATTAGAAGGAAATAAAGGAAAAAGTTTATTTTGCAAAATTTCACTTAATGGATCATATGGTTACGATGCAATGAATACACAAAATTACGCAAAGACTAAAATAATGAATGCACAGAAGGCACGCGTTGCATGTATGTCAAATAAGTTTAAAAAACATAAGAGAAATAGGTGAAGATACATATCAAGTGATGCTTAAAGATAGATTTTATAGATGTGATACATGTTTACAAGAGGCATTTTTTACTTTAGATAATGCTAAATACTGGTATTTAGTTTTCATTTATGATTTTATGTATAAATGCATGAATGTTAATTGTTTTCATTTCATTGAAGGTGATACTGATTCATCTTATTGGGCAATCGCTGGCGACCCAAATCTTCCTAACACTCAAGCATTTCAAGCAATTGTTACCGATAAACAATTTTATGATAAAAACATTTTCAAATTCGCACCATTTGATTTCTTCTGTTTTGATGAGAAATTTAAACCTAAATTAAAGAATAAAGCTGAAGAAAAAGCACATGAGAAAAAATTATTGGGTTTAGCAATTGAGAAACAAGGTGATAACATGGTTGCTTTATGTCCTAAGTGTTATACATCATTCAACGGTTCAATTGATGGAAGTGATTTTAAAAAGATTGCACAAAAAATGAAGGGTGTTAGTTTAAGACAAAATAAGCAATTAACACCTAAAAAATATTTGGATATAATAAATGATAAAGTGATATTTGATGGTCAAAATATTAATTTACAACTTAAAAATGGGTCAATGACTCGCTTAACAATTGGTAAGACTGCATTAACAGGAGCACACACTAAGGCTGTATGTTGTGAAAATGGATGTTGTATGCCATTTATTTAATACAATTTAAAATTTTATTTTTTAATGAAATGCCACAGAAGAGACAAAAGGAACCAAATCGATTTATACCAAATGGTTTTAACTTTCAGATTCCAAATAATCAACCACAACGAATTTTTTAAATCCCATCACAGCAACAACCGCCACCATTTGATACCGTTTTAGAAGAAGGAACCGTTAATGATGCGATTCAATATGTAAATAATGGTTTTGATACTATGATTCAAAGAGGTGGGCACCCTTAAAACATTTATTTTATTTTTATATAAATGGATAACGTAGATTTAAAAATTTTAATTGATGATTTAGTACTTAATCAAAAATTTCTTAGTTATTATGAATTAAAATCATATCTCCAAAAATATAATAATAATATAACGGGCGATGATATGGAATATTATTATCCATATTATAAAAATGAAATTTTGAAATATCATAATAAAATAATTTCTGAAATTAAAGACAAAATTAAAAATAATGAATATACAAAGGGAAAAACTAAATCACAACTTAAACATTTTGAAAGATTTCAAAAAATAAAGTATTAACAGAAGAAGATATTGATGAATTATATAATTTATATAATCCTGAGCCACAAAAACCAAAGCCGAGGTCTAAAGTAGCAAATGTTCAACAGCTAAAGGAACAAAACGCCCAGGTCCTTCAGACCATAAATGAAGCACAAGCTTTAATTTATGATTCATTAGTTAAACCATATTCAGCCCGACTTTTAAATGAAGATCAACTTTTGGAATTCATCCTTCAACATAAACTCGAAGCGGGAAAGTATATCAAACCTTTATATACAGCATATTTAAAACAAATGAATAGAATACATCCAGAATTAATGAAGGGAGGATTGAATTCCAAAATCAAAGCAGATAAAATTAAACCACTTGCAACACCAAAACCTCCAACGGCAGTACCGCCTCCTCCTTCAGTTAATCCTTCATCATTCACTTTATTATATTCATTTCAAACATTAAAGAAACAAAAAGATTTTAAAAAGGGTTTCAAGATATTAAATAAACCAACTGACCCAAAAATTCAACCGTTAAAGGAAAAATTTAGTCGCCCTTCATTTGCACCATATCCATATTCATACGAAATCGATCATCTGGAATATTCAAAAGGAAACGTTACTTATTTATTTGCCATTAACATTAACACTAGATATTTATATTGCATTCCGGTGAAAGGGAAAACAGAACAGGAAACAAGAAGAGCTATTCAATACTTACTAGATCATGAAAGAGTAGATAATATCAGGGTGATGGCGATAAAGGATTTCAGGCAACTATGACTCATTATTTCCCACAAATTAATTTTTACTTCTCATCTTCTCCATATACGTTTCATAATAAAATAGTTGATGCGGTAATGAGAACTCTTAGAGATGCGTTAGGGGTTAACGTTCAAATATACTGGGATGGAAATCATGACTCCATCATACAGCAGTTAGTATATTATTACAATAATACATGGCATAGAACTATAAACATGAAACCGGTGGAAATGAAAAATGATATTTCAAAAGAATGGGAATATATTAGAAAGCAAATGGAAAGGTTGAATGATGTTAAACGTGAACAAATTAATTCGGGGCTCATGAATTTTAAACAAGGGGATAAAGTTTTGATTCATCTCGATTATGGAAAAACTGATAAATCAATGACAAAAAGAAGACGAAGATTTGACACAATAGCTGAATTTGTTGGATATATTAACGCCAATGCATTAGTTGAAGTTGACAATAAATTAATAGAAATTCCGATTTATTTTATTACTCCATTATATTTAAATAATATTTAATTTTTTTTATTTCGTAAGAAATGAGTGACAACAAAGCATCCAAGAGTCCAGACGATGAATATAAAAAGAAACTAAACAGAATTAAATCAAAAATATGCTATTACAAAAAGAAGCCGCAATGCGGTGGGGCTGATGCCCATAAAACTAATGGAACTGAAAACGATGAAGAGAGGAAAGAAATAATCGAAAAATTAGAAACTTACCGTTCAATCCTTAAACTGGGTGAAGCAAAAATAAAAGAATTTAATAGAATAAATAAATTGATTGGAAGAGATGAATTTAATAAAGATGAATTTTTAAACTCTATCCAAATTTAATTTTTATTCCTCTTCGACAACGTCTCGAATAACTGAAGGTGTCACTATGTCACCATGTCACCAGGTTATTTAACTTCTTTTAAAAAGTGTGACAACATGACATTTTGACAACAGTCCCGGAAATGATTTGTCA